AGAAGTTATAATAGCTTGATTATATGGTTAGGCCTTTCAGTCCATTTCCACTTTACTTTGATTTCAAACCAAAGTAGCGCATTAATTCCAACAATAATCTCCATTAGAAGTTGAAGATTATCTGTTTCTTCAACTGATAATACAATTTCGGAGCACCAAAGTAAACATATTCTATTTGCAAAATTCAACCATCTTGCTGTGAATGTGGCTCAATTTCTTTACCTTTTAGATTTTCCAGAAAAACTCCAGCGTTAATTGCATGGGTATTTGATAAAGATACTTTTGATCATCTGAAAGCGATTTTACAACTTCAGAGTCAACTTCTATTATTGCACTAGGAAATTCAATTTTTTTTTTTATGCTGTCTTTGACTTTGGAGCTAGTTGTCTTACCTATAAGTTTTCCAATAGAACCAGAAAAGTTATTTTTAGATGCAGTTTTTCCGTCAAGCTAAATCATAAGATGTGGGAGAGGAAGCTCATTTGTATAAAGAGCACAAAATATCCACATTAATTTTTTATCCAATTTAGGTTCAAGGTAATGGATAACACCTCCTTTTCAACCAGTGTTTAAAGTTTTTGAGTATACGACATAGGTCCACTGAAATTCTGCTGTAGAATGTTTGCTGGGAATTCTATTTTTACTAGCCTTATATTATTTTTCGATATTATTATTATTAAATTCTATATATTTAATTCTATGACGATAATATTGTTAAAAAAATAATAAATTATTATCCAATTAGTCTTTCAGTTATTTAAAGCTCTTTAAGGATACTTTAAATTCAAATCAACAAATTCTTAAATCAGTTCAGACACTGCAACAAAAATATTATACAGAGAAATATAAAAAAATAATATAAATAACAATAAAGTGTAATGGTTTTGACCTAGAGAAATACATCTTTTAAAACAAAACAAAGTTATTAGAGCATAAAATGTAGTCTTAATGCAAGATATGGTAGCTTTATAAAAACCTTGTAGCACAACTTTGTAGGTTCTCCTGCAATCAATACTGCTCCATGACGGGATATTGCAACGGGACAATTTTACCCCAAAATGCTGTAACCTTAAGTTCTTAATAAATTATACTCTCTAAAAAATGTAGATAAATTTATTTAAAAGTTATGTAAACACCTAAAATATACATTTTTGTTGTATTTTGTGCATAAAAACTTATTTTACTTATGGTTCCATTATATGTAAAAACCATGTGGTTGTTAAAATTTGATTTAGAAATCTTAAAAAAAAAAATTATAACATAAAATTCTTTTCAAAAATCTTATAACAGTGGTAGTTAGAGTATAATTATTAGTTTCAAACAAGCACAAAACTGAAAATAGAGTATTTCATACCTGTGCTCTATAACAACAATTAGTGCGATTTCTTTTTACAACCAGCTCGTCTTTTAATTTAATCTTTTTGATTCCTTTATTACGACTTCATCTTAAGATTCAAACATTCTGCGTTCTAAAGACTACTAATTTTAATTTATAATTCAGTTTGCTTATGCTTTAAATTGAAATCTTAAAAACTTTTTTGCATAACCTTCATAGATAATAGCTTACAAATTTAACCAAATAATTTAATTCTGTAGCATAAATTGTTTGAAAATGATGCTTCAAAGATGTAATTATTACCTCCAAACAGATAACTAAAAAGTTATTAAATACTTAAGTAAACCCTTATTTTAAAGAAAAATTAAACACTACATATATAAAAATATACAAATTTTAACATCTTTGTATCATTTTTTATGATTTAACCCTTTAAGACCTGAGAGTGGAAAATGCATTTAATAAAATATACAATTGAAATATACTTATTAGGGCTTAGTAATAGACAATACACATTTTTTCATTATACCAGGGTGATCGTTACCATGGAAACTAAAGTGGGACTAATATGTTACGTCAGGCTGTAAATGTATTTTTTTGTAAAACAATTTTTAGTTAAATAAAGAAAAACAAAATGTTTGTTATTAAACATGTTTTAATTAAATTTATATAAATGTTATGATACTTTAAAAAACAGTTTTTTTTCATTTATGCACAAAAAAACCTTACAAGTGGTGCATTTAAAATGAGTTCTTGACTCAATCTTTTCTTTTGAGCATACTTCACATCTTCCATGGTTAGTTTCATAAAAAAGCCAATGAATGCCTTGATTATCTGCTCTAATAGACAAAGGTACTGAATAGTTAGACTTGCGTCGTTTTTTTGTTGATAAAGAAGGTGATAACATTTGGCATCCTATTTTAGGTATTCTGCCTAGTATTATTAACAATTGTGCGACTGATCTTTTAAACTGCATTAATGTAATTTTTTCACCACTTAACTTTTTATAGACCACATAAGCATTACATAAAGTACGCTCAAGAACCCCAAAAAATACTCGGTGCCACCATTTCTTTGATTTTTGGTCTACGCCATAAATTGAGCAAAACATGTCTGCCTTGTCCACTCCCCCCCCCCCCCATATATAAATTATAATCTTTGACAGCAGTAAAACGAGAAATAATTTTTACACTACCATCTTTGTTTTTACGGTTTATTCTAGTTGCATCAGTACCATGGAAATTTGATATGACATGCACAGACCTATTGTCACGCCATTTATAGACTACAATACCATTTCGAGAAACTCTATAATCAAAACCTCCTGTTTTCAGATCTTTGTCTCTTTTTAAATCTTTGGGAAGATACTTCTTGTTTGTTCGTAAAGTACCACAGCATAAAATATTTTATGATTGCAAATACTCAAGGAAGTAAGTAAAGTAAGTAAAGTAAAGTAAGTAAAGTAAAGGAAGTAAGTAAAGTAAAGGAACAGTAAGTAAAAAAAGTAGTAAGTAAAAAAAGTAAAGTAAAGGAACAGTAAGTAAAAAAAGAAAGTAAGTAAAGTAAAGGAACAGAAGTGAAAAAGTTATCAACATATACTTCATAATAATGACCTTGTAAGTATCTAGTCATTTCATAATAATGACCTTGTAAGTATCTAGTCATTTCAAAAACAACTTCATCTCCTAATCCAAAATTACCAGGAATGTCATCAAAAACGTTTTGACCACTTTTACCTTGATAAACAGAAAATTTAAACAAACAACCATCCATATCTGCCATATACCATAGTTTATACCCTCTCTTTATCGGTTTCGTTGGATTATATTGCTTGAGGGAACTTCTTCCATTGAAAAGAATCATACTTTCATCAATACAAATTTTTTGAAAAATGTTATACAACTCTACAAAGTTTTTGTTAAGTTTGTCTAGAAGCGGTCTTAGTTTAACAGTTTATTACGATTGTTGTTTGGCATAGCGTTGTTATCATTGACATGGAGGTGTGATAATATTTGTAAGAGCCTGTCACGAAACATTGCAGAAGAAACAAATGGTACTTCCAAATCAGGCTCTGTATTCCAATGGTGTTTTAATGATGGTAGTTTGTGATATTACATTACAAAGTTTATTCCAATAAATGCAAGTAAACCATTTTTTTAATACATGGTACTTTTTTTGACATTGTAAAGCATATAAATTACTATGATATAAGATAGATTTAGCTATTTCTTCGTTAAAATATTTCATGAAGAAGTCGACTGGATTACTGCATTGAGCAAACTGTTCTTTTAATGGTCCTATGAAGTAAAAAGTATACATTTAAAGTACATAAATATCAGAAAAGTTTAAAAAAAAACAATTACTTGATTTATATACATTGAGAAATTATAATAAAATATAAACCTTGTAGAAATTGAAAAGTAAAGCTGTTCTTTTCATTTTGTAACTTCTTCTAGCTCCTTTTAATATCATATTCATTATTAGAATCTATTTTGTTTTTTTCATCGCCAATATTATAATCAACCAACTCATCATCTGAATTAAGTAAACAGTTTTTTTTAGCAACTGAACTTTGTTCAACTTCAATAGGATCAATAATAACATCATTTTAAATATCAGAATTAAAATCAGATGATTCAATTTCACTGGAATCACCAGAAGGAAGATCTTGTAAAATTATTTCAGCAGCTTCTATAGCACTGTATCGAATCTTACGACTCACATTTGATTATAATTTCAGTTTTTTCACTTTTTCTACTCTAAACAATAAATATCTTTGGTTTTGAAAATGTTAGGCCGTAACGCCTGACGGGACTTATTAGTCCCACTTTAATTTTCATAATAAAGTAGTGTAAGCAAAGCTTTTTAACACGTTTAAGTATTTAGTTACACATTAAAGAAGCTCTAAAAAAACTCCCAACACAAATAAAAGTATTTAATGTTATATATAATAGGTTTGCATTTACAAAACCTTAAAAACCATCATTAGAGATGACATCTAAACTAAACAACAATTGATGACAAACAATTATATGTAATTTTAAAACATGCCTAAAAACCAATAGAAAAGTTACGCAATGTTTTTACAGCAAAAAAACAACCGGATTAAGAGAAAGACTAGAGTTAATGCAGTGGGACAAATAAGTCCCGTCAGTCCACAAAGGGTTGATGTTATATCCAAAAATACTCTTTATATATATATATATATATATATATATATATATATATATATATATATATATATATATATATATATATATATATATATAGTCACGGACAAAATTAAGTAACATTGTTGATAAAATTGATACTCTAACAATACAAACAAAATTATTTACGTCAAGGTCTACATAACTGCAATAATTTTATGTTTTTTTTTTTAAATTTGATTCCTAAGAAAAATAAATACATTTGTAACTTTTTATAATTCCTTGCAAAAGTTAATCTATTAAACAAATTTAATCTCACAATTTTTTTTTCGAAAATAAATGTGACAAAAGTAAGAAACATTTGAGTTTCTGTTATGAAATATAATGTTTTGTCAATAGCTATTTATTAAAAATGATTATTATTAAAGAGATTTTGTTAAATTTATTAAAAATAAGCATTTTAAACTTTATTTTTTCGGAATTTATTTTTAGAAAAAGTAAAACTAACAATAATAATGGTTCATCATCAAAATTATTCATTGGACATCCGATCTCGGGTCATTTGTGATCGAATAAAGGGTCTAACCTACAAGCAATGTGCAGAAAAATATCAAATATCGATAAGTGGTATTAGAAAGATGTGTATAAAATTTGAAACAACTGGTTCTGTTGAAAATCAGAAAAGATTTGGTCGCCCCCCTAAGACTTCAACAAGAACTGATATGCTAATTGCGCGAATAGCAAAACAAAATTCAACAATAACCTCAAGACAGATTGTTGAAAATCTTAAATTAAATGTTTCCAGTCGAACTGTACAGAGAAGACTTAATTCAAGTGGTTTAATAAACCGTCTTCAAAAAAGTAAACCCCTCATTAGTGGTATAAACAAAAAAAAACGCTTAGCGTTTGCAAAACTGCATATTATCAAGGATGAGGCATTTTGGTGTTATGGTCTGATGAGAGTAAATTTCAAATATTTGGCTTTAAAAAACGACAAAGAGTTTGGCGCAGACCTTGTGATGCACTCTTAGACAGAAACCTTAGAAAAACTGTCAAGCATGGAGGTGGCTCAATTATGGTTTGGGGATGCTTTGCTTCAAATGGTGTGGGAAGACTGGTGAATGTTGAAGGTATAATGACAGGACAATTGTATGTTGATTTGCTTTCCAAACATTTATGTCAATCCGCTAAAAAATTGAATTTAGATCGCAAGTTCTTTTTTCAACAAGACAATGACCCTAAACACACCAGCAAAGTGGCACAACATTTCCTCAAAAAAAGTAAAGTTAACATTCTTAAATGGCCACCACAAAGCCCGGACCTTAACCCCATTAAAAATTTATGGGCAATTTTAAAATCTAAAATACCTCCTTCAAAACGAACAAATAAAAAAGAATTTTTTGAGGTTCTTAGTGAAACTTGGAATTCAATTGGTACTGACGTCACGTCAAAGCTTGTAAAAAGCATGCCAAGACGTTTAGAAGCAGTCGTGAAAGCAAATGTTGGTGCAACAATGTACTAAAATGAAAATCAGACATGATATTCTTGTATTTTTAACATATATTACTGACAAAACATTATATTTCATAATAAAAACTCAAAATAAAAAAAGATGTTTCTTACTTATATCGCATTTATTTTGGACAAAAAAGTTGTAAGATAGCTAATTTCGTTTAATAGAGTTACTTTTGCAATAAGTTATAAAAAGTTAAATATATATATTTTTTTCTTTGGAATCAAATTTTTAAAAAAACATAAAGTTATTGCAGCTGCGTAGATCCTGACTTAAATAATTTTGTTTTTATTGTTCGAGTTTCCATTTTATCAATAATGTTACTTTTTTTTTGTATATATATATATATATATATATATATATATATATATATATATATATATATATATATATATATATATATATATATATATATATATATATATATATATACAGTGTCGGAAAAAACAAGTGCAACCAAATAATGCTAATTTAGTGTCTTTATACAAAAGTGCTGCATTTTTTCAATTTAGAGAAATAACTATGTAACTGTTTAGAGACAATATTCTTCAAGTTTTATTCATCACAAACCCCCAGACCATTACACTGCCTTCACGGTCTTATGGCAGTTACGTAAATCGAGGCGTTATCTGGCGGTCGACGTACACGGCAAATCCGATGTTGAATGATGTTTAACTTCAATTCATCACTGAACAGGACAGTTCGCTTTTTCTGCACATTTCAGTGAATATGAAATTTAGCAAACAGGAGTCTTTTCTTCTGGTTATTTAGTGAAATCAGTGGTTTCTTTGCAGGGGGTTGAGAACACAATCCGGCTTCAACAGCACGTCGTCTGATTGTTTGGTCCGATACAGGCAGCTCTAACTGCTTTTGTATCTCAACTGATTATATCTAGGGATCCTTCTTAACGGATCTGACGATAATAGAATCCTCTCTAGAAGTGGTGGAACGTGGTCTTCCACCTTTGTTATATATATATATATACATATATATATATATATAACATATATATATATACATATATATATATATATATATATATATATATATATATATATATATATATATATATATATATATATATATATATATATATATATAGATATATATATATATATATATATATATATATATATATATATATATATATATATATATATATATATATATATATATATATATATATATATATATATATATATATATATATATACTTTTCTAAGTTTTTAAGAAATTTTTAGACTTATCTTTGCGTAGTTATATATTCCACGCGGTCCTTCAATTAAGGTCAGCAATCAAATTAGAGCTGTATATATATTTTTTTCAAACAGAATTAACGTTGTTTATTGTTCTTATATATACATATATATATATATATATATATATATATATATATATATATATATATATATATATATATATATATATATATATATATATATATATATATATATATATATATATATATGTATATATAAGAACAATAAACAACATCAATTCTGTTTGAAAATAATTATATATGCAGCTCTAATTTGCTTGCTGACCTTAATTGAAAGACCGCGTGGAATATATAACTACGCAAAAATAAGTCTAAAAATTTAGAAAAGTGTATTTTACAGAACACAGAACCGTAATAACCAATATCGAACAATTGGCGTAACTATGCGCACTATTTATTACAGTATCAATACATGAATAAAATCAAAAATTTTACTGCACAATATAATAATCTATTTAACTACAAACATATAATAGAGTATAGATTTGTATGATTTCGAATGAATGTTATTAATTTTAATTCTAAATAATTTATTTTTTAAACAATTACCATACTATAGATATCAAAATAAATAACACTTATATAAGTAAGTGGTTTCCAATATAAAAACGGTTGCCACGGGCCTTACTAAATTTAACATTTATTTGATATGCGTTTCAAGTTTATTTATTATGCCTTCCGGCTACACTTGACTTTTAAAAATTAATAAAATTTGTATATTTAAATGATTGTTAGAAACGGGTGCAACGAGCACCCGTATTTATTTTCCCGATCGCGCGAAATATGCTCAGAGCTATCCTCGAACCATGAAATTCACGCTTCTAAATCAAGCGCTCTAACGACTGCGCCACTATCAGATATTAAATATGAGATTGTTAAGTATATTTTCTATAAGATTAATAAGTATATCTTTTATGCGGCAAAAAAGTTTTTCTTGGTTTTAGTCGACATAAAACATATACGGCACCACCCTTTAAAATTTCTTTAGGATGGCCCTGCATATATGTTTCTTCGGCTTCCCCAGATTCACCTTTTTAAATTAAATAAAATTTATGTAGATGAGTACTAAAAACGTGCGCCACAGTCAAATATTTGTTATATACTTTAAATATGAAATACCTAATAAACTTTTAACTTTTATTATGTACTACTTCATAAAACTTAATAATTTTATGTAGTGTCTAATAAAAATATAAGTATACGTAATATATATTATTTTTGGCTTCCCTGGCTTCACCTGAGTTTACTAGTTCCCAAAAGAAAATGCGTGAGAAATGAGTCTAACTACGTACGTAAACAGCTTTTGGACTTTGAAGTAATAATAAAATTTACTCAATAGTTATTGTAAGTGTTTTTCATCAAAGCAATAAAATAGTGATTGTAATTCTTTTGCGATAAAAGAAGTATAATACCAATAAACAATCTTTTTATTACTTCACTTGTATTACAATACATTCTTATTATATTGTATAGTGTTGTTTTATTTATTTTTTATAATCACAAGTAAAATAGTTTGAACGCTACTAAAAATATAATGTACTTTGTATATAATATTTATATTGTATATAATATTATACTATAATACACTCTGTATAATCTCTATTTTAAAAGTTGTTAGGCTAATATTAATTTTATAAATCTGGTTTACACTAGGCGCTACTTTAGCTTATTTGAATTCATATCTTTGACAAAAATATATAAATCTGCGCACAAAGTATAATTATATATATATATATATATATATATATATATATATATATATATATATATATATATATATATATATATATATATATATATATATATATATATATAAATGCTCGAATAGCTGATTGCAACCTGAAAGATAATTGAGATGCTAAACTAAGTCATTACTGTTATACATTTTATATCATTACAGTTACATATTAAATAAAGAGTTTAGCAAATTCCAATATCGGCGCTTGAGAAAATTTGAAAAAAAGCAAAAATACAGATATATATCAGCTATACATTTACAAAGGCAAAAAAAGTTGTTTGCCATATCTTGTATTATAGAGAGCAACAAAATAATCTGCATCAATTAACTTACAACCAATAATAGATCATACTGTACAACAGTTGTTGTAAATACAATATGATGTCATTAGCCTTAATAAGGTTGATTCTACGTTAAGGTTTTGATTGGTCAACTGGGTAAAACAAATATACAAAAATTACTAATAAGCTGGAAAACTTAAGCTATGTTCAAGAAGCACGTTATTTTTATCTGCTTTGTACCACTTTTTACTGCAGTTAAATTCAGTGTTGTTTAATTTTGAGTCAATCTTTAGTCAAATAAATCAACTTCATATCGTGTGTAGTTTGCTTTTATATCCAAACGGATTGAAGAATAGCTTGTCGACACTTTATGCATTCATTCGCACGTAATTAGATTTATTGCACGGAATGTTTTATTAAACTCAGCTACAAAGCTGAGGGAAAAAATCGGGTTCAAGGTTAATTGACGACAAAGAAAAATCAAAGTTTAAATCTATGAATATCCTAGGAATGAACTTGGATTATGATTGATGTCCCTAGTTGTTGTGATTAAAAGTCATCGAATAACTGCAATATTGTCCAATTTTATTCAGAAATGTTAAACAAACAACAATAATTAATTATTTTGATGCGCATTTTTTTATTAAAACTCGTTTTGTGCTGTATATATGTGATCTGGTCATATAATTGATATTAACAAAATAAAAATTAACGCCTAGAAACAGCACTAGGTGCATATCTTCACCCCCCCTGGTATTTCATTCTACAAAGCTTACGCAGAAACTGGCTACGTAGGTGACAGGTTGTTATTCAGATGGTTTGTTACGGGATGATAGGATGTAAAAAAGGTTTTTGCAAATTTAAATTAATGAGGTTTTTACGTTAAAGACAATTGAAGAACTTTTATCACTCCTTATGTCCTATCAGATCCAGTAATCAAAGATTTATGATTACCAAAGCACCTTTGAAAAGAAGTTTTTTTAGATGGCATTTTGCAACTTTTAAAAGAAAGATACTCTTTTATTTTGTAAATGTCATAATAAGTTCTGCAAAGCTTTGAACATTGTGTTTAATAGCATATTGTTCATGAACTTGTTGCTGTTTTAATTTATATTGTACATAACTATCTTGCATTATTACGTTTATAGACCTACCAATTACTAAGCTTGTATTATTTGTAGAATATATAGCTAAAAATGCAATTAAAAAAGTTAAGACTT